TTAATTTCCATGCCTAGGAAAAAATTGAGCTCACCCATTCTTCTGCTGTCGAAAGTGGAACATAATGTATCAATAACTGATGGACACTTTGGGGTTCAGACCCCAGTAACAATGATATCGTCCACATACACGAGAACATACATCGTGCAAGAAGAAGAGCGGCGAATAAATAGGGAGGCATCAGAGCGGCTGTGAACAAACCGCTGAGCAAGAAGAAAGGTACTAAGGCGTTGGAACCAAGCCCGGGGTGCCTGTTTGAGGCCATAAAGAGCCTTATGAAGGCGACAAACAAATTGAGGTCGAGAGGAATCATGAAAGCCAGGGGTTGTTTCATGTACACCTCTTCTTGCAAGTACCCATTCAAGAAAGCATTGCGAACATCAAGTTGCTGAAGCAACCAATTATAAGAAACAGCAATAGATAAAATAGTGCGAATAGTGGCTGGTTTGACGACCGGACTAAATGTTTTCTTCATAATCAAAGCCTTCTTTTTTATTAAATCCCTGGCAACAAGGCGAGCCTTTCGGTCATCGAGCCATCTGCTTTCCGTTTAACTTTGAAGACCCACTTACATCACAATATTCCTAGATGAGGTTGCAGGACTAAGACCATGTCTGATTTCTCATGAGGGCATCATATTCTCCTTCATTGCAGCTCACCAGTGGGTGGATTGGGAAGCCTGGTGAAACTCGTGGGTTCAATGGACATGGGATCAGAACACACGGCAAGTAACGCATGAGGTAAGGGAATGAGAGCTGTCTTAGAGTAAGTGGTTGTGTTTCAGGACCAAAAGGAACTGGGTTGGAGACTTGAATTTTTGTTGAGGGTTTTGGTGTATCTGGAGAATTGGGAAAAATAGATGGGTCTAGGTGAAGGGAGGAGTGATCCATAAGAGGGTGGAACATGTGGTGATGGAGGTAACGTGATGGGTCCGTAATATACATTTGGGTTCGTGGATTTGGTGATAGGAGGTTTTGAGATTTGGTGATGGGAAGAAGCCGATTCAGAGGGTGGGTTCGTGGATTTTGGTGATGGCGATGAGGAAGGACTCGTAGTGAAGGGTTGTGTGGTTAGATGGAGAGGAAATCGCTTGGGGTGTTGTATGTGTGAGGAACAAGCAGGCGGCTAGAAGAGTAGTGGCGTGATGGGCTTTGGAAGGATTATTTGCCTAGGGAATGGAAGTGAGATTTGTGGTGGAGAGTAGGGTGCTCTGGGCCCTAGGATCTTTGAGTTGGAGGTGTGGGCTGAAGGTAGAGGGAGAGAGAGGTGTGAAGTCCACCAAAGGGCAATGAAGATGTTTCTGGGGCCTGCTTGTAAGGAAAACTATCATGCGACCTAAAAGGGACACGACCACGATAACCTTTCTCTGAATCATCCTAACCAATACACACCATGGAATAGATTTACAGATAGCTTATGCTTGTTGTATGGCACCATGTGAGAAACGCAGGCACACCCAAAACTTTTGAGCAATTTATAATCTGTGAGATGAAGTATTTTCATAAGAGATAAGTTGTCCACTGAGAGTTGTAAGCGATTGATTCAAAAAAAACCGCAGTTGAGAAGCTCACCCAAAACTAGAGGCAAACAGATTGGGCTAGCAAGCGAGGCCCATTGCAACATGTGACGCTGTGTCCTTTCCACCACCCCCATTTTTTTTGGGGAGTGTAATGGACAAGAGATTGATGCAGATGCCATGATCACTTAAAAAATCATGAATAATCTGCTGGTACATGCACCGCCCACATCAATCGTAACTGGTGGAATTTTGAGCTAATCGTTTTCCACCACATTTTTTTGAAGGGAATAAATTTGTAAGAACATCTGATTTCTTAGCCAAAGGATTAACCAATGAACCGGTGTTCATCGACAATGGACAAATAATACGATCTCCAAATTTGAGAAACAGGGTGCAGGGCCCCACAAGTCCAGGTGTACAAGTGCTAATGGCGATTGAGCATGAAACTTTTCTTCTGTATTCAAACGCATCGACATGATTTTCCCATGGACAAATATGCAATGTTATTTGCTAGAAGTTACCGCAAAGTGGTAACGGTACTTTTCAACAAAGAGAAAAACTGAATGAGATTGGTCCAAGTCCTGCATGGCCAACGTCCTGTGTGGGTGCGCTCTCCATAGAATTCAATTCTACAGCAATTGCGAGCTGTCTGAATCTGATAAAGGCCATTCAGAGCTACGGCCAGTCAGAGTAACCGTCCCCGCGTGTTGTCCTTGCACAAAAACCATTAGCATCCAACTCAACGAAACAATCATTATCACCGACCACACGTCAATAGATATCAAGTTTTTCCGGATTGCGGCACACACATACCTCATCAGTTCTACGGACTGATCAACCCGTTAATTGTGGTGTGGCCATATGTGTGATTGCTACTGATACCCTTTCCAACAACAATGTAGCATACCTAAGTAAGGTTGGGCATGTGGTAGAGACGTAGGTCCGCTGTCCGTGGTGGGTAGCCCCAGAATCAAAGCACCAATTGAGATTCGCCACATCATGATAATTGAGATGGATTGAGGTATTTGTTCCATGTCTGCATGAGGTCTTTGAATCTGGCAGAAACGTCTGTGGCCTGGCTCTCTCACATCTAAAACATATGACTCAGCCCGTTGGGTGTATGTGGGGAATTCCATGTGGCGTTGGAAGAAGTGGAGGGCGTCCATCATAAGCGGTTGTAGAAGAAGGCACACGGAAGTATGTGCTGGTTGTGAGACTGAGTTACGACGTCTGGACCCCAATTCCCTTGGGTTGATTCCCAAGGATTTGCTCTCCCTGATCCACGTCCATTGTGTCCTTGATTCTAGTTTCTGTCGTGCCCGCGCTTCTTCTCCCGAACCGTAGAATGAGTTGGATTATGACTAGTGGAGTTTGGACCAAGTTGCGCTCAGTGGACCTCCGATCACAGCCCTAGCAACCCCTGAAGCCGCGGTGAGAGACATTCTTTTTTGTAAATGTTCTTTCCCTTAAAGCTAGATCATGAATTTAATATCGAAATCAATATCTGGATGCAGGTGAGTGTTGTGGCTAACTCTTTGTATTCAGACCAAGACCATCCAGAACATAACTGATGAGTTCATCATCGTCCATTGTTGCACCAGCTTGTGTGAGGGAATCAAAGAGTGATTAGGCATAATTGAGATAATCAGTCACTGTTGTGTTGGTGTCCTTTCTGAGAGTGTGAATTTGGTCTCGAAGAATCCGTACACGGGTACTAGCAAGAGGTGAGAGGCGCTTGGCCAGCATGGTCCAGGCTGATGAGCAGTGGTACAAGGGATGAGAAGTGTCTTGATGGAAGAAGAGGAAGTCGCTTTGATCCAACTCAGGACCAGTTTTTCCTTGGCTAACTCGGGTGCACAGATCCATCTTCTTGCACTTTGGGTGGGTTGTGTTGTTCTTGACGACTGTTGCAAGGCCGTGCATCTCCAATACATCTTCAAATTGGGATTTCCAACTCAAGTAGTTGGTGCGATCCATAGGAACTGGGAACAACGATGAGATATTGAAAGAAAGGGCAAGGGATGAGATGAGAATGAAGGTGAGGAAAGTTTTGACATTTCAGAAATCAGTTTTGACATATCAATATTGCTTGATTCTCCAGATTTAGGTGTGGTGGCCATTGGTTTGGGTAGGATCGATATTTTGAGGGTTAGCTCCGAAGAGCTCTGATACCATATAAGAAAATAAACTGAAGAGGAAGAGAGATGAGAGATAGAAGTGAAGAATAATTGCACAGACCAAGATGATCTGTTCTTGTATTATCAGTTGTATATATATTGTACACAGGTTAGACTTTCTCAAGTCTATTTACAGAAGGTAAGTAATATAAGGTAAGTATAATTAATCTCATATATTACAAGATCAATTGTAAACTAATTCCTAGTTAGGATGAAGCTGATCTTGTGATGGGGAGTCTGTCAATGCTGATTTAGTGGGATCGACTGATTTCATGGAATGGGCTGATTGTTTGGAATCATGATCTGCATCATGATTCTCTTTAGGGAGGAAGAGAGAGGGTTGGCTCCTCAACGACGCACTCCTCGTGCAGCTTTTTTTTCTTCTGGGTATTCTGTTTTTGGTTTTTGGGTATTCATGGTGAAGGGAGGGAGGAGAAGACGGCGGACATGGGTTTGCAAATTTTCCCCTCCAATTCGTCTTCATCATCTGAAGTGGCACTAGAGGCTGGGTTGGTGGGTTTTGGGAAATGGCTGGGTGGGTCTTTGGGTGGCGACGAGAGAGTGGTAGCTGAGATGTGGGGTTGAGTCAGGAGGGAGAGAGGGTTGGCTGGGTTGGAGGAGATGAGATTTTTTCTATTTTTTTTAATGATTTTAATATGATTTTAAAATATATTTAACATTTACATAATTTTTTATTAATTTTCTGTCCACATGGAACCCCACGTCAATTAAAAAATGGGTCCCACAAATGCCATATAGGCAGATAACGGATTTTCTTACGATCTCGCTAACGGAGGGGGCAAATTGTAGGTTTTCCGCGACGTTGAGTATGTACTCGTAAATGTCCCCCAAAATTAGATATAAACTCGTAAATGACCCTATAGGTTGGGAGGTTTACTGTAGTTCACCTTTTTTTTTTAATACAACCGATAGTAAACTACAAAGGGGAGGGGGTTGCTCACACACACGCTACCAAGGGTCATGAGGTTTAGAACTTGAGACCATTGGTTTGCAAGTCAAGGCTCTTTCCCACTAGCAGGTCTCCTACTTTTCTAAGATTTAGGAAATTTTTACAATGATGATTGAAAGGAAAAAAAACTGATGCATAGATGTCTAACAACTTACCATCCCTCAATAACGCACATGTCCGCTTCTTTTTTGTCCGAGGGCTAAACTTCTTCCCAGTTGGGGAGATTCTCAGTTGCAGTTGGGTATCCTTCAAACCAAAACCATATTAAAAACAAAAGTGAGTCCTGCTATATCATAAGGATAAAAATAAAATTTGTCGCACAGAAAGAAGGTACCTGCTGGAGGTTGGTTCTCTTGTGCCTGTGTCTTGGCCATCTTGGAGAAGAAAAAGCAGAAGCTATGATCTAACTTAAGACGAAAGATCAAATTCGATTCCAAGATCGGTGTCTAGGTGACTCTAGTATAAATCTGTTTGTGTAAAGATTCTGATATTGGTCGGCTTCTAGTAATGTAATGTCTAAAGAGCCTTTTTCTAAAGGCAGAGCATATTGTGGATTTGAGTTTGGTTATGAATCTGTCCAGCTGACATGTGGTTCTGATTCTTGAGAAAGGGCTCCAGATACGTCCTTCAACTTTTGGCTACTATCATCTTCTCAGCATCAATTGTTTGAAGCCAGATTGGTGAGCCAAAATTTGTATTAAAACACTGAAATAAAGCAAGGTTCATCCACGTCATACAATTCCAAAAACAAGCAGGAAAGGCCAATAAAAGGCAAGAAAACAGGGTCTTAAATCCAAAAGACTTGCGGGTTGATTTTGATTTGGATTCTTCACTTGCTGAAGAGGAGAATAAAAAGCAGTGGAAAAAGCATAAAAAGAGTTGATAAAGGGTGTGAACACAAGAATTCTCTACACAGGTTTTCAATCAGTGATAATTGTTCACAATTTTAATGCTTATTTATACAGAGAATATATGCTTCCACTGTTTTATAAAAGAAATGCATTAAGAACAAGGTGTTGACAAATGCTCCTGTGAGCTGCGATATTTTAATTTATCTTTAAAATTTTAATATTTTTTTAAAGACAACTGGAGTTTTTTAATTTTAGATTTTCATTTTCTCATGCAGCTCAAATTTTTTGTCCCACATCAGTATAAAAGTGGGGTTCAAAACGTGCCACATGGGCATAAAACAGTTGACTTGACAATCAACCAAAGAAAAGGCAAACATTGCAATGTTTTAACCTGAGGTTTAGGGTTAATTTTAACAACTATTTTGAAGATTATTGTGATGGAAGTAATATAAGTATATGACCATGAAGCAAACTAGTTTCTGTTGGCGGAACAATATGAAATATGAAGTTAAAGATAATAATAATTCTCAACAAAATTGTAATAATCAAATACAATAACAAATTTACATGAAATTAATGTAAATCAACAACACAAGTAGAAATACTAACAACTTTAGCGATTGAGGTTTGCAAGAATTGCAATGTCCTAAAGACAGATTTCGCCCCTGCCCTTGTGCTCGCAATTCTATAGGCGTCCGTCTCCCAGGATTCAACAATCGATAATCCTAAATTGAAGCACTTCAATTTAAGACTCTGGCGAACCAATTATATATTTGTACTCTCAAAACACTTAGGAAGGAAACTTGAAGATTGATACTCTAACATATCATGGGTGGGGAAAAACTCCTATTTCGTGAAGAAGAAGGTAATGGGTTTATATAGAACCCATCAGGTATCCATCAATAGACACAACTTTTGATAGCAAAAGATGCTTCTATATTTGATAACCGCATTCAAGCAATTGCTTTTGAATGCGAACAAATAATATCAATTACAATGCAATTGTTCGAGCAAAACGGACTCTTGTATATTTTCACTCAACCATAAATTTAAATATTATAATATTTAATTAATATTATAATTATTAAATTTCCAACAGTTTCTTCTTAGTATTTCAACCATGACCAGAGTTCCCTCGTTAAGATTGTGGATTCGTGGACGAGAGGTGAGTAAATCAGAAGTATTATATTTATTATAATGTGGATTTGCTTAATGTTAATGGCTTATGATTAACATGTTGATGTGGTTTATAAATTGTTTTGTTGATTTAAAATTATATGGACTTTTTCGACAACAGTTCATGGGTAAATGGAACCTGTTTTGATTTTAAATGAATTTTCTTAGTGTTTTGAGAAACGGATGGTATTTTTTGGTGAATGACCATATCATGTTGTGATTGTATTGATGGTATTCACGTGTGTGTGTGTATATATATATATAGAACTTCTCATATGCGAATGTCATGTCGTTATTATTATGCGGACGCCATATATTTTCTACTACCCCTCCATGCTTTCTTTTCTGTTTTACAATGACATTCGCACGATAATAACGTGAGGACATCTGGATGAGAGAATAACTGTATAATATAATGATAAAAATGTCTTTATTCGAAGATTGCTATGGGAGCATGACTGTGGCAAAAATAAAAGTTAATTCTCTCAAACTTTGAAATTGTTTGAGAAATTATTTGAATTGTTTTCTAAATCAAAATTATGTTTAAAGCTTCAAATATGGAGAAAATGTCATAATGATTTCACATAATTTTGATTTCTTTTTATGAGTTCTATAATTTATTATGAATTTTGGAAGTTTAAACATTGAAAATAACAATAAATTGAAGACAATGACATGTGGCAGCGTCTGAGTGGTGCGCCTTCAATTCTTTTGAAATGTGTCACTCTCTTGTTCTGCCACTTGTTATTTAGGTTTTCTTTATTTTTGTTATTGTTTTTTCTTAAAAAAGTCACAAAAATTAAGTTAAAAAATCAGAAAAATAAACCAAAATTTTCTAAAAACTCCTTACAACATTATCTTTGACTATAAAGTGCCAGAATCATATTTTGATTTAAGGGAAATTGAAAAGCAATAATTGGAGGAAGAGGGTTAGCGAGAAAAGTTAATTCTCTTTAACCTAGTGTCATGGGATTTCTTCTGTCAATCTCTGGTACGTTTTATTTACATTTATATTTATATTTTTTGTTATTGTTAAACTTAAAAAATTCATAAAAAATTTTAAAAACTTAAATGTACACCAAAAATTTCTAAAAACTCCTCACACTATTATCTTCAATATGAAGTGCCAAAAACTCGAAATAATGCACGGTCGAAATTTTTTTTTGTCAAACCGTATATGAGGTTTCACCTCCAAAATTTCACGCATGCAAGAATATGTATTTAGAGCACTTCTACCCATTTGACATGGCAAAGAGAAAAGGGAGGCAATGACTATTACTATTCATGTGAATAGTGAAAGCCCTTGCAAAAGGCAAGGTGTGTTTCCACCCATTACCATGGCAAATGGCAAATAGTATTTAGTTTTAGTTTTTTTTTTTTTTTTTTTTCTAAACAATTAATTTGGAGAAGATTTTCGGATAAGATTTTGGGTTACGTGCCAATATTTATTATAAAATTCATATCTCATAATTCTAATGAATTTTTCGGATAAAATTTTTGGATAAGATTCTCGGTTGCCATGTGTCAATATTTATTAAAAAAAAATCTCAAATTGCATATAAGATTTTAGGATTAGATTCTCGAGTGCCCACGTGTCGATGTTTATTATAAAATACAAATCTCATATTTAGATATGATTTTCACTCTCGAAAATCGCGCCACAAGTCATCTCTATCTTTTAAATTTCTCTATTAAACCAGAGGCTCATAACATCCCTCTCACACCAGATCTTCTCTATCATTTCATTTCTCATATTTTAGAATTCATACTCCACTCTCAATGTCAAACATGAGGAGATGCTTGGAGAGGCAAGAGCGAGAATTTAAAGAAAAAAGGTGTAAACGAGTTGAAGAAAAAATGTGCAGCAAGAAGATGATGAACAAATTGCCATGGCAGTGCATATACTCGAACTATCAAGCCAAGGCCGCCGCTGTGGCCCGAACGTGGATAGACATAGGTATTCTCGGGGTAAGAATCTTTTGGAAGATTACTTTATCCCAAATTCTATGTACTCTAATGTTGATTTTCGAGAGCGATATAGAATGCAACCCCATTTGTTCAATAAGTCATGCATAATGTTTGCAATTATGATGCATACTTCGTTCAGAAGTGTGATGCTGCGAGGGTTTTGGGGCTTCTTCTGGAGCAAAAGCTTACAACTGTTTTACGAATGCTGGCATATGGTGCGTCTGTTGATCAGGTGGATGAGATTGCTAGGATGGGGAAGTCCACTCTAGAGCTTAGTCAGATTCTGTGATGTAATCAAAATTGTCTATACCAGAGACTACCTTTGCAAACCTACGCCTAGGGACCTCTAAAGGCTTCTATTAAATCTAAAGCTCGAGGTTTTCCAGACATGATTGGAAGCATCGAATGCATGCATTGACAATGGAAGAATTGCCCAACTGCCTAGCAAGAAGATTATGGAAATAGGAAAGGGCAAAAAGTATCATCCTCGAAGCCGTTGCTGGATTCGATACATGGGTTTGGCATGCATTCTTCGGAGTTGCCAGATCTCAAAATGACCTGAACGTGCTGGGTCAATCCCCGGTATTCAACGATGTCTTAAGAGGTGAAGCCCCGAATATCACCTATGAAATCAACAATACCGTCTATTGGAATGGATATTATCTAGCAGACGACATCTACCTGAGGTGGACTGCATTTGTCAAATCAATTCTGCATCCCCGATCTGAGAAGGAAAAATTATTTTCTGCCTATCAAGAGGGTTACAAGAAAGATGTCGAAAGATGTTTTGGTACCCTCCAAGCTCGATGGGCAATTATTAGGGGTGCTGCGCATATGTTTGATGATGAGCATTATGATGACTTGCATCATCCTCCATAACATGATTGTGGAGGATAAGTATGATTGTGTTGCTCCAAACGTGTTTCGAATCGGATCCTATGAACACGGCCTTGATAAGAATTTATGAAAGGCCTATAGGCCCAAATGGACAACACTGGAGCATGAACCGTTGGTTAGGGACGGTCGTTTCATGAACCATATGATTGATCGATATACGGAGATGAAATCGTCTTATATTCATGAACGACGTCAAGTTGACTTGATGGAGCATTTATGGGTGGTGAGAGGCAATGAAGGTGAATGAAGTGAAGTGAAGATGATTTGTTTTTAATTTTGCTTTGTGTTGATGTTTTACTTTTTTGAAACACAAGGGCGATAGTGTATTTATTAATGAGGAAAAAAAGTAACAAGTACAAAAATCGGGCACAAGCCCTAGAGGATTAGGCGAGTACTCTACACCGAGCGAAGCGTAGTGGTCGTCGGCTACGAAGTAGCCTACCTCCTCAACCGCAAGCGGGAGGAGGAACCTTGCCTCCGATAGAGTCCCCCCCCTCCCCCTAGTAGCACGGCCGTAAAAAACTACAAGTTACACTCCTCGTACAGGACATCAACTAGAAGATCTGGCGGTTCTTCAAACCAAGTAGTCATAGTGCCAGTATGGGAAGCATAACGTGCCAGACGATGAGCCGCTCCATTTGCAACCCGACGGATATGGGTAAAACCATCCCCAGTGATCTGGGTTAGCAGTGCCTTAGTGTCTTCCACCACTGGGCCCACATTGGACCTATCAACAGAAGAACTTCGGATTGCTGACACGATCTGGAGAGAATCACTCTCAAAAATTGCATTATTAAAATCCCCTTCCACCGCCAAAATTGCTCCTTCGCGAGCTGCCATTGCTTCAACCTGTAAAGCTGAGAAAACATTGTCCACATGCAACGCTCTGCCCGCAACAAACTTGCCATTAGAATCGCGCACCAATATTCCCACACCCCCATATGTATTACCTGCTGTCCAAGAGCCGTCCACATTAATTTTAGACTTCCAGCGCAAGGTTTTGTCCAAGGCTGAGGCGCATAACAGCCCCGACCAAGAGCAGCCCCCTGGGGCCGAGCACGAACAAAATCAAGTAGACGAACAGCAGCACTAGAGCTTGTAAATTCTGGTTTGGGTGTTTGGTTATTCCATAGCTTGCCATTTTGAGCCTCCCAGATTGCCCAACCAGTAACAAAAAGAGGTCCAAATTAGCATATGATAAATGGTCAATACATGAGAGGACCCAATCATGCACATGGTGATATTGTTGAGAGATGCCACCGCTGCCAATTAAAGCACAGGCCCAGACTCCTCTTGCAAATGGGTAACACATGCAAAGTAGATCCAATTCAGCCCCACATAAGTCACAGCATGTATCCAAATGTATCTTTCGTTTCCACAAGTTGTCCTTGGTTGGTAGAATGCCAGTGCAAGCTTTCCACCAAAACAATTTTATCTTGCTTGGAATCTTTGCCTTCCAAATAGCAGTCCAACCTTTACTAAAACCATCCCCAGTTGATGACGACGCCAGAGTCTGGGGATCAAGAACCGTACGGGCTACCTTGTAAGCACTTTTGACAGTGAATTGACCTTTTTTGTCAAAATGCCAAATAAGAGCGTCGACCCTGTGATGGAAGCTCAGCGGAAGAGTTCGGATCACATCCACATCGGGAGGGTAAAGGAGATTAGATAGAAGGCTAATATTCCAGCGTCGGGGGTGGTCAAGAATAAGCTCTTTCACCTTGGTAATAGTGCAACCGGTGGGTTTTGGTGAGATAACCCCGAAAGGTAGAAGGGCGTGGCAGCCATGGGTCCTTCCAAATATCAATCTCTGCCCCACTGCCCACCTGCCATCTAGATCCCTGCAAAAGAATTTTTCTGGCCGCACAGATACTTTCCAAACATAAGAAGAATTGTCTGAAACAGGGACATCAAGAAAAGATTTATCAGGAAAATACTTAGCTCGTAGAACCCGTGCTATAAGGGAATCCGGATATTGTATGAGCCTCCATCCTTGCTTAGCTAACATAGCAAGGTTGAAAGCATATAAATCACGGAAGCCCAACCCCCCAACATCTTTGGGTTGGCAAAGCTTATCCCAAGCAAGCCAATGTATTTTCCTGTCGCCATTATTTCCGTTCCACCAAAAATCTGCAATTAAGCGGTTAAGATCATCACAAAAATATTTGGGCAATAAATAAACGCTCATCGAATACAAGGGAAGAGCCTGTGCCACAGTCTTGATAAGAATTTCTTTCCTAGCACCGCTTAAGAGCTTTCCTTTCCAGCCATATAATTTTTTGCACAACCGTTCCTTGAGATGTGCAAATGAGGAACCTTTGTTCCTGCCAACTACCATTGGAAGCCCAAGATACTTATCATAATGCTCAACACAAGAGACACCGAGAGATGTTGCTAGAACCAGTTGGTCTTGGTGCTTAATATTTTTGCTGAAGCATATTGCACTCTTCTGTAAATTAACTTGTTGACCGGATACCCATTCATACCAAGAGAGTGCCTCCTTGATTGTCCCACAATCTCCCACATTTGCACGGGCAAACAGGTAGCAATCATCGGCAAACATGAGGTGGTTGATGGGAGGCGCACCCCTACAAATGGAGACTCCTTTTAAGCGCCCATCCCGTTCTGCATGTGTAAGGAAACTAGAGAAACCTTGTGCACATAAATAAACAGATAAGGGGATAGCGGATCTCCCTGCCTGAGACCCCTAGAAGGGTTAACGTAACCACATGGTGAACCATGAACTAGAAAAGAGTAAGTAACAGTGGAGACACAAGTCATTATAAGCCTAACCCATTTTTCTGCAAAGCCCAATTTCTTCATCATTTCTTCCAGGAAAGGCCATTCAATTCGATCGTAGGCCTTGCTCATATCGAGTTTCAATGCCAAAAAGCCTTTCTTACCCCGTCGTCGACTCCGCAGGCAGTGGATAATTTCAGCAGCTAATACGGAATTATCCGAGATAAGGCGTCCTGAGACAAAAGCACTCTGACTGGGCGAGATCAGAGAAGGGAGGATAATTTTCAGGTGATTGGCTAGCACCTTGGAGGCAATTTTAAATAAAACGTTACAGAGGCTGATAGGGCGTAGTTGGGTCATGTCCTTTGGGTTTTTCACTTTAGGAATAAGTACCACATGGGTGAAGTTGATCTTGTGAAGTAGACGTCCTGAAGATAGAAAATTAATAATGGCTCGGGACACATCATTGCCCACAATGTGCCAATATTTCTGAAAAAAGACAGGTGGCATTCCATCCGGCCCAGGTGCCTTGGTTGGGTACATCTGAAAGACAGCGTGCTTTACTTCCTGCTCCGTGAAGCTAGCAAGAAGCGAGTCATTCATGGCTTGTGTCACACATGGTTCAACAGTATTGAGAAGAATATCCTCTCTGCGTCTACCATTAGCGGTGAAAAGGTGTGTGAAATAATCCACCACTATTTCCTGGACTGCGGCACCATCTTCCCTCCATACACCATTTCTATCGGTTAATCCATGAATACTATTTCTTTGCTTCCGCATGTTGGCCCGTTGATGGAAGAATATGGTATTCCTATCCCCATCCCGAAGCCAAGCAACCTTAGCTCTTTGCTGCCAATAAACCTCCTCGCGAACCAACAACTCATCCAATTGTGTCGATAAGGCTTTGAAAGCTGCAATAGTCTGATCCGTACACTGTTGTTGCCAAATAACCCCCAATTTATCACGAGTGCTTTGAATGTCCCGCTATGTAGCTTTAAACACTGACCGTGCCATTGTAAAAGACGAAGTCGTGTAACCTTTATTTTCTCAACTACCTGAAACATGGGTGTGCCAACAACACTAGTCGCCCAAGCAGCACTAATTACACTTTCACAATCAGCATGACTGGTCCACATGTGTTCGAAACGAAACCAAGGTGAAGGTGCCCCGTCTTTATTTTTATGCTGGTTTAGGTAAATGAGAATAGGCAGGTGGTCCGAGCGACTGGGTTCCAGATGCACCACGCGTGATGCAGGAAATAACCCCTGCCACATGAGATTAGCAAGAGCCCGATCTAGCCTCTCTTTAATACCACCCACTCTGGCACTGTACCAGGTAAACTCAGCCCCTTCAAAACCCAAATCCTCCAGTGCGCAGTCAGAAATGGCTTGACAAAAAGCTAGCATTTGCCTGATTGGTCTAGGCGCTCCCCCTTCCTTCTCATTACTGTGAAGTATCTCGTTAAAATCCCCAAAACAGATCCAAGGGAGTGTGGACTCAGTAGCCAAACCACGGAGTAGTTGCCATGACTTATATCTGTCTGCCGTAGAAGGGTAGCCATAAAAGCCAGTAAAACGCCAATGCGCTGGATCGCCAATACCTCCGACCTCTCCATCAACGTGGTGAAGAGACGCGGATCGGATGGCCACCTGGCATTCAGATTTCCACAGAAGACACAGCCCTCCAGACCTGCCAAGGGCATCAACTACAAAAAAATTATCGAAACCTAATTGAATTGACAAAGAAGAAAAAACATTACGATTGCACCTTGTTTCGCTCAAGAAGACAACCGTGGGTCCTTGTACGACGATCAACCGTCGTAGTGCCTGAACTGCCCTGGGGTTCCCAAGCCCCTGACAGTTCCAACTCAAAACAATCATGGCTCTCGGCGGAGCTGAGTGTGCTCAGACTCCGCCGTTCGACTTGTTCTTGTGGTACCGTCATAGGAGCATAACTTTTTCAAGGGAGGAGCCAGTAGCTCCCCACTTGCAACATACATGGTTGGACGTTTGCGATTGCTAGGTTCAATTCGGGGCTCCTTCTTAGTTGCAGTGTACCGCCGTTGAGATCGATGTTTCCTAACTCGAGCATTCCTGTTTTTGGGGGAACCTACATGGGCACTTTGTCGAATAAGAGGGCTGAGATTAAAGGGGTCGGACCCAAGGGATATATTTGTGTCATGGCCCACAAATTTAGTTGCATTCTAGTTTGACCCAAAGCGTCCAGTGGTATAATCGGGCACATGGGGTTTGGCTGGCTCATGCGATGACCTAACTACCACATCCTCAAATTGCTCCATTGTGCCCCTAATTGGAGAGTAGACAGGGGTGCTAACCAAATTAATTGCATGCACATCTTGGGAGGGGAAGTCAACTCTCAAGGAATTATTGTTCTCTGACCCTCTATCACAATAAGGAATAATAGGTAGGAATTCCTGAAAGTCAGCCACCCTATCATCCGCAATCATGTTCAAATCTGGGATACATGGGTAGGAAGGGGATCGTGTGGAGTGATAGACATCAAGGCCGCCATGATTGGTTGACGCGGAATCAGGGAGGGGATTGACATCCCTTACGCTATCTTCCTGAGAATCCGGAGTTTCCCCCAAAGTTTCTCCCCCTGCCATATTTGGTCTCGTCGCATCGTCACTGCCGTAAGTATCTCATGCTGGCGAATGGAAGCCGGATTTATCTGGAGCTCGCATAGACCATCCCGTCGATGGAGAAAGCCCAAAACGTCTCCCGGAAGGCCGCCGATAGTCGGGGCCAAGAACATCCTGTTGGAACCATTTGCCATAAGGCTTGGCCTTATCATCTGCATAGACAACACCCTTTTGTGTGCATGAGCCTTCCATATGGCCGATCAAACCACAATGATAACATGTGATAGGCAATTTCTCGTAACGTATCTCCACCTCCACTAGATCTCCGTCTAATCTGAGGTTTAAACTTCGCCGGAGAGGTTTTGTCACATCAATGCGGGCACGTATCCTCAAATAACTGCCTAAACAATCCACTTTCTTGCTCTGATCGGTGACAACATAGCCTCCTAGTGCCGTACCAATCATCTGACCCATGGCCCTGGTCATAAAAGACAAGGGAAGGCCTTTCACCTGTATCCAGAATTCCTGCATCACAAGAGGAATCCTGGTCAGGTTAACTTTTTCATCTGCCTCTGCTAGAATCAAGAGGTAGCCGTTGAACAGCCACGGGCCCCCATTGAGGATCGTTGCGCGTTCCAAATTTGTATTGAACGCAAAAAAGAACCTGTTCTGTTCCAGCTCTACTATTGTGACGTGAGCTTTAGGTTTCTAGATCGCATAAAAAGTTTTACGGAGCGCTTCCTTGTTTACTGGTTTGTCCGAAAGCACTGCACCCACCAGGAAGAACTTATCGGTTTTAACACCAATGTTTTCCTTGGACTCTATCACTATTTCCTGTTGCTCCACATCAGTAAGGACAAACCGATGCGAAAAGGCCGAAGAGATATCCTCCATATGCGTGAGTAAACTGGTTGAGAAAGCCAGCAGATCTGACATGCACTGGCAACGAACACTTGTCCCCTGAATCAGCTCCGACCAGAGCATGCACGCCAGGGGTGTCGCCGCCTCCTGTAGTGATCAGATTTGACTCTCCTAGAACCCTAGAGAAACCCTAGTATTCTAGAGAGAATTTTTCAAAGGGGTTAATATGGAAACAATTTTTAATTGTTGATGTTTTACTTTTAATTATGCTTTGGTTGTGATTTTTTTTTCCTTGCCTTTTGTTTGATGTATGCAATGTGTTGAATAAAAATGTATTTTATTGAATGATTTCTTTATTCACTCAAAGAAAGCAATACAACTAATTAAGAATTACTACTAATTAAATAAAAGACAAGAATTACAACTACTTTAATACAAAACAAGCAATACAATTAAATAGCAGGCAAGCAAATTAACTTAATGGTTTTGATCATTTAACCAATCAATGTTGCTAGGTCCATTGTCACGGAAAAGTCTTCTTTTCATAACATCCCTTCGTTCTAGCTTCCAAAATTGTTTTGTTTCAAGGGAAATATGGCTTGTATCCATGGTCATGGTTTCCCGATTCTTCTTCTCAATGTCTTGTTTGCGTGTATGCTCCCTTTCTCTTGCATATTCTTCATTCATTGCATTCTCGTCCGCATCTTTTTTCATGTCTAACTCAATTGTCATGGTGCCGTTCCTTGCAATTTGCTCCAACAATTTTGCAATATCATTGCTGGAATTACTCCCTCTCTTCGCCTTCACTGCCTTTCGACCAATAGGCCTCGACTCCTTTTGGATTGATGAGTCTTGACTCATCGGGGAATCTAAAGGCAAATCCGATGCTGTTTAATCATGGAGTGACGTCTCGTTTAACACAACGGTCGGACCCGTGGGAATAATTCTAAATCGTTTGCAATTTTTTACCACCTCCCAACATTGTTGATGATTGAAAGATTTTATGCCTTGCCCAATGGCACAGAACCACATTTGTGCCTGCTTAATCTATTTTTAAAAAAAAAAAATTAGAAATGCAAGACACATTAATAAAATATTGAAAATGCAAGAAATATTTATTTATTTTTAAATGGAAATGCAATTAACATTAACAAAAATTAGGACATTAAATTTAATAGAATGGAAATTACAAATAATTTACCTCATTGTCAAGATTTTGGCCACTTCGATGGTTGTCCCTTTCTTTTGCCAATGCATCTCTCCATTTCCGCAACTCTTTATTCAAAATTTTCCACCTACTAGCCAATGTCATTTCCATACTAGCAAAACCCAATCTTTCACAAAATTCGGCATGAATTTTTCTCCACATATGACAAAATTTCATCTCATTGCCCGTGACCAGACAATCTTGGACCTAACACTCACACAACATAACATCTTTCATAGTTGTCCACATCCCTCCGACTTTTATGGAAGATGCCATAAGAGGGTGAATAAAAATGAAAATTGAAAGTGAAGAAATTTTTGTGTAGAAAGTGGAAAACAATAGAATGAGAAGATAATGTATGGGGATTTGGTGTTGAAAGTGAACAACATTGGTAGGTATTTATAGAAAAAAAAATTTACAGTATTTTTTGTAATTTTTTTAAAAAAATTTGATTTTTTTTATCTTCATATTTTTTAAGTAAAAAAATAGGACAGCCATTGGATTTGAGGAAAAAAATTATCAGAGCAACTAGAAGCGTCGCGTGGCATGTTACTGTTGGCGGACATCAGGGCTGAAGGCAGCCTGGCGTCAACGCACGTAAATTCAAATTTTTTTTAACGTTGACGCGTGCAACAAAAAATTTTAACCCGGGCGCTAAAGTCAGGCTAGCATCAGCAACCCTCGGGCTGGAGCACGAGCTCGTTTCTTCCTCGAGCTGGCCCGATTACGGGGGACCAGTAGCTTGCCTGGGCAAGCTTGGCCCACTGGAAGGCGTCACTTGGGCTTAGGTCCTGTCCTACCCTGGCTTGGGGCAACCGGTGGAATAGCTTTTACAAGTGTGCATCTATCGTGCTAGGAGCTTATCCATAACTAGTGACTATTTGTTATGTTTCCAATTTATTTCGGGTTCCAATTTGTAGTTCTCGATGACGACTTTCATTTAAATGAAGCCAATTGCTATGGACTATTTGCAATTGGATAATCAAGCGTCAAGTTTTAATTGGGAATAGGTTCAACGGTTTTTAGCTCCTCTTGCATTTTGTTTTTTCATTCTTTCTAATTGCATGTTAACACTTTGTTTTTAATCATTGTGAAATTCCCAAAACATCAAGGTAATAAACAAATTTGTATACTTATACTTTCAAAGAAATTACATAAGAAATTGTTAAAGATTGGCTCACTACAGATGCGGGAGGAAGAAGGAACCAAAGGGGCTGTAAAGAGGAGCAGTTGAAGGAGAAGAAGGTGCAGCGACTAGAGCCAAGTGATCGATCTTTTTAAGTAGTGAGCTCTAGAGCACTGACAAGTGCAAGTGAACGCTCAATCTATAGGTTTTTTAGTGGCTCGCTTGTTTTCCTCGGGTATTGAAGTGATTTCCTATTTTATTGGGGTTTCTTAGCCAAATTTAACAGGGTTTTGGTTTCCTATTCCTATTTAACTTGTGGCTAAAGTCCTAAGCATTATAAATAGGATTTTAGGGCTATGTTAATTTTAAGAGAGAGACACAAGAGAATTCAAGAGGGAATTCTAGGGTGTTTACAAGGGCATCAGGAGTTTGAGCAAGGATGAGAGAAAAGAGAGTTGGGGTTCTTGTAAGAGCTAAGGGAGTTCAAGATTGTTGCTAAAGTTGTTCTTACATACTAGTGAATTTCTTGGGTGGATTACCAAGAGGACGTAGGCACGAGGCCGAAACTCGTAAGGGTTTGTGTGTGTGCCGCCTCATAATCCATCAATGACAAGGTCTTAAAGTGTTGTTGCACAACAAAAATAACACTCCAAATTGGCCAAAACAACCAAGTGAATCAAAGAGGGACAACTAAGCCTATAAGATGCACACATTACACATTCATATACATAGACATAACCACATATTGAGACAAATAGGAGACAAATAAGGATACAAATCCACAAAAAAAAAAAAAAAAAAAAAAAAAAAAAAAAAAAGATTGAAGGTGGATTAGCAAAATCACAACTAGAGTCTTAAAGTTGTGAATGTGTTCAAGTTGTCTAACAGGACCCACCCCTAATTTCCCAATGGAATCTGTGACAAACCCTATTGCTCGTCTAATCTATGGCCGATATCGGACCCACTTTAATTAAAAAAAACCCTAATTTAAACAGATAGACAATTCGACTTCTACCGAAATTTCGATAAAGTCTCCCTTGTAACTGGAACATTTCCCAATTTACAGTACTACAAATAAGCGCTAGAATAATCTCAACTTTCAACATGCAAAAGATAAGGCACACACGACAGTTAAGACTATTCAAATGGGCATCAAGCCCTCTACCCAAACTTAAACAAGCTAGCATAGCGACAAAAGAATTAAATTTACAACTCGGGGAAAAAGGAAAGTAGAGAATGATAAAGTCAGCTCAAAAAAGCATTGTAGTGACCAATTGTCTCCACCACAAAGAAGGTTTGCATCTTGAACTTTTGGCCCGACTTGGAGTGGGGTGATCCCCTTTATCTCGATGGGAATTCATTTATCCGAATGTTTCTTCAACTTCCTCATAATTAAAGCTGGAAGGATGTTCAACATAGGCCCTCGTATTAATTTGAATTTTGCTCACCAGCACCCCATTAAAATGAGCCCATACTTGTAAGGGCCTAAGGTGGGTAGCTATTTTCTTAGCAACATCTCATAACACACATTTTCTCGACGTTTTTCATTTGGCCTTGACACAATGATTTGAGGTCGAGCCATGTCTACATTTAGAACTTCTCAGGTTACTTAGATTTCCTCTAGTTTGCTCATCTGAAACATTGACTCGACCTTGTTGAAGACATCACCATAAATGGAATTTGGTTGGCTTGGCTAAACTCTGAAAAACAAGAGAAGTGTGACCACCATGGCATCTACCTCATCAAAGTTCCCAAACTTCAACTTGGTCTTACCCACCTTCCAAGCACTTTCTAACTTGGCCAACCTTTTCATATTCTCATGATCGTTCGGATGCTCCATAATTTATTTTGGGAATTCTTGGAGACACTCATCATCACCATACTTATCGTCCCCATAGAACGCCTCAACCTTTATGCTCAGGATTTTCTTAGGCTTATTTAGCCTCTACTTTGGTCATAGGTTCAAGCCTTTATTCTACCTCTTTGGTATGAAAATCACCACGACTTGGTCCTCCTCTACCTTTGGCTCTTCATATTTCATTTGAGGATCATCCCTAACATCTTCAACCATTTCATGGTCCTCCTCTTCTTTCTTTTCGACCTTGGCTTGTAACCACCTTGCCCATGACTTGGTTTTGCCTACAGTCTGTTGGACCTTTGGCTAAACTGACTTAGCCTTCTCAACTTTTAGTGGCCTCTCATCCACCACCTTTGTTGGCTGCTTGGACTCTACCTAGAAATTATTTGCCTTGAAAGATTCAGGCAGATGAGTCTTCAACCCCAAGATTGGCTCATATGGGACCATAACCACAACTGAGCAATTCATCCATTCTCGGTGCATTTTCATCTTTTCAACCATTGCTGCTTCTCTAGTGAGGCCACAACCTCCGTGTTGGTTAGTTCCAACTCTTCCATCTAAAGCTTTTCTCGAAGGTTGACCACTCGGTTAAGTTGGGTTGGCCTCTCATTTGCCCATCATTATTCCTCTACATAGATCTTGCTATTCGCTTTGCGATAGGTTGAAGTACTAGGATGACTAGTACGATCCAGATGATCTCTGGCCATCTCTTTGGACCACCTTCCATGCCCCATAAATGCCCCTGATTGGCTAATCTTGGCCTTTGCTGGTGTTCAATAATTTGACCACTTTAAAATGTGGCATCGCTATGTTGACCTTTTCTCTTACAACCATGTTTATCATTATTGGAGCATGATTAGTCGGGCTCTGACCTTTTCTTTCATTGGATAAAGGCAATTATCTCTTAGGATGGTCACTTTAGGTTGTACCATATTTCAATCTTCCTGCTCGGTCACGTTTTGGGTTTCATCTCCTTCGGTGGACTCATTTTTGCCACCCAATTGGAGGTTCTCAATAGGAAATTCAACTTGAGCATTTGACTCTAAGGCTGAATTGTCACTTATTTCCCAATCAATATTGGGGTTGATATCCATATGATTATTTTCCTCTTGTGGGTGAGAAGTAGGATAAGGTTGAGATTTTTTCCCTTGGTTAGTTGGCCAAGTCGCAAGTAGATTCATCGGCTTATAGGAATAGTTTCATTGATATTGATCTCTCATGTAGTGTGTGTTATCGAGCATGCCAAAATACGTTTTTCCTCTTTTCTGCCAATGTGGCTTATGGAAGGAACTTTTGGTCTTTTTTTTGGATGTGTAGGCGTGTCGGATCTATACCATCACTATATGGGTTGTGGAATAATTTTCCATTGCAAGCTCCCTCTCAACTTGATCATTTATAGTAACGTTGTAAAAGCCAACAAACGCATCCATTACAACAACCCTTAACGGGTTTTGTGCAATCTGATCTTAAATACGACCTATAAATTGTTGGACAAATTGCATTTTTTTTTGGAAAATGGTAGTAATATTCATAAATTCCAACATGGAGGGAAAAGAAATATAATAAAAATAAAAATAAAATGTATAATATTCAATGAAAAAGGCGAGAGAACGCATAACATAATACTTATAAGAAAGGAAACATAAAGATGAACTTGAAGAAACTGAGTA